GTGAGACTTCACACGAATATTTCTTTTATGGTGTCTTGCATTGATTGAGAAAGGGTCCCGTGCTTCAGTTCTGGAAAGAGTAAATAGATTAAAATATTAACTTGGGAGAAGGAAACAATGTCATCCAAAGGGTACAATTCTAATTTGGCCGGTACATTTTTTAAATTACATGACTTTGGTTCCTAATCCTTCCAAAGTTTCGCATTGTGCCTGTGTGCTAAATCGACCCATAAGGGTGTGTAAGTTCCTAGAAGACTTCAAATTATACCATGGGTGGATCCATGATTTTCCAACAGGCGGTTGCTGCATACGTTGTTGAAGTTCGAGATTCTTTAGAGGGGATTGGATCAAAAAAGCATAAACAAGACACAGGCCTTTCATTGACTGCACGTTGGGTGCGGTATTCAGGACAATAATCAGATTCGTGTAACCCTTTGCAGCTATGTGCTGATCCTGACCTTTCAGGACATCACCCACTTGCGAAACCTATAGAAAAACATCATCCCGGATGTGAAATCTTTACAAAAAGGGATAAAAGGAACACAATGCCATCACCCCACATGGCCTTCCTGTTGAGTTGTATGAATTAATGTCCATATATAGCATATTAAATCTCATTGTATTTGTTATATTATATTTCGTATTTTATTGTATGCATTATTATCTTCTTCTTGTGTGTGTGTGTGTGGGGGGGGGGGGGGGGGCTGAGGGGGAGGTAGACTTCCGAGATCTTATTGATAGCTAGAGGTGGCGCGTTTGTACGGGGGCTGGGGGGGGGGGGGGCTTTTGTCTAGCCCCCCTCCCACACACACACACACACCCACACACACAGACAATCCATAAAAAAAATTGCAGTAGGAAATGTTAGAAGGTGACGTCACCAGTGGCGCACCCAATAAGACTCTTTTTCAAATGGGTATAAAATTCCAAATGATAACAAAGTCAAGTTAGGCAACATGATAAAAACAACAGCAACACGTGGACGGATGTGACGCGCAGGAAGCACACTTGAAGTGTTTTTTGTAAACAATATTCTAAGTTGTACCCTGATTTAAGAACCTTCGGTCCTCATTCCAATTAGCCTTAACCTTTTAAGGGCGGCACAATATCACTGTGGAGTTCAAGTGTTTCGAAATCGAAACAGGGAGGGTTAGTCCTTTATCAAGCCCGTTGTATCTAACTGATAAAATGTATTTATTTTAGCGATATTCGCCCCCAAAATAAACTTTCGTTTCCCCTGCCACATTGAACCTACGTCATCCATATCACACTGAAAGAAAACTCTAATGGGCGTGAATACCAGAGAGATATCGGTACATAACTCCCCCCCCCAACAGAAAAACAACCGGGGGGGGGGCAGAGGGGGCAGTTGCCTCCCCCCCCCCCCCCCCCCACTTTTGAATAGGTAGCTATTTTGCCCCCCCCCCACTTTTTTTACCAGGAGCGATTTTTAAAAAACGAGGTTAATTAAAATGATACAGGAGGTAAAAAAAGATTTGAACACGTGTCTCATTTACAGGGCCCTATTAGTAGTATTATGTACTACAATGTATCTTTGCTCAGAAAATATTGGTTAAAGTGGTCACTTTTGCCTCAGATCGCACCACAGAGCATCTAGAATCCAATTTTTTCCGGGGCCCTTAAGCGGGCCCTGAACCATACGCCTCAAGGGCTTCGCACTTCACGCTCGCATCAGTTCTGATCAAGATATCCCCCCCCCCACTTTTGAAAAGCGATTTACACCCCTGGTTGGTGGTGCAATTTGACAATAGGCCTTATACCTAAGTGAGTACGGCGAAACAAAATTAGAAAAATGATACGAAAATAGGGATATACCGGTAGGAATAGTCCACATGCATAGGTTTGCAGCAAGGGCGGATCCGTGGGGGGGGGGGGGGGGGGGGGGGGGGGGGGGGAAGGGGCCATGCCCCTCCCCCCCCCAAAAAAAAACCCGAAAATTTTTTTTTTAAGTGACATTCCAATAAAGGCAGGCAATGAGTACATCACCATCTTTTCCTCAAAAAAACATTGGTTAAAGTGGTCAGAAATTGCCTCAGATCGCACCACAGAGCATCTAGAATCAAAAAAAAATTCGGGGCCCTTAAAGCGGGCCCCGAACCCCACGCCGTAATTTTTTTCCCACTTTTTTGGGGGACTAACAATTTTTTTGGCCCGCCAAAAAATTGTGTTCTGGATCCGCCCTTGGTTAGCAGACATTACGTAGGTCACACTTCGAACCAACTTCACACTTTTCCCATTTGCTTTGATTTTGCTGTAATCCTGCTCCGGGAACAGTAACTGGACCTTGCCCTCCCACTTTTAAAAGTGTTCCGCCGCCGATGGTAAATACATACAGTGTGCATGTTTGTAGGATTTTATAAGCGCTCCCCATTGAAAACATGTCCACCACCCCCCCCCCCCCCCCCCCCCCCAGTTGATTTTCAGAGGCCCAAGTGTCCGGAGAAAAAAAACTGTCTAAATTTCAGCACGCCTCCCTGCAAACATTTATGGATCCATTCCTGCAAGCCCCCCCCCCCCCCTAAAATATAAGCTCTAGAACCGCGTCTGGGTTGGAGCAAATCCGGCGCCACCAAATCCGGGTCGTAACTTTTTGGTTATGAGTGGTAAAAACCTGATTGAAAAAGTTGTTGTTTATTTAATGGGGATTCCTATGATATTAAGCATTTTGATAGGTTTTAAAATAAGATTTATAAAACATGCTAAAAGTAAATAATGTAAATCTTACAGAATAGAAACTCAAAATTTGGCCATTTAAATTGTTGTATATCTCCAAAGGGCAAACACATATGAGCCTGATTCTAACGCCATTGATTTTGTTGTGCAACTTTCTTTCAGTGATACAAAACTTGAGATTTATTTCTTTAATAGATAAAATTCGCCGGACTCCCTAAAAGAGGAAACCCATTGCAAGCTGTAAATATGTAAGTAAGGCACTCCAAAACTCAGTGAATTCAACTAAAAAGATGTTAAATCTCCAACATAATCTTAGACTGGTTTTATTGATTATATTTTATTACGTGTTTTGATAGCTGGCCTCGGCCTCGGCCTTGGCCTCGGAGGTGGTGGCCTCGGCCTTGGCCTTGGCCTCGCGGTTGTGGCCTCGGCCTCGGCCTTGGCCTCGAAGGTTGTGGCCTCGGCCTCGGAGGATGTGGCCTCGACTACAACACTGCTAGTTAAAATCGAGGGTATATTCGTACAAGACTTGACAAAGGTTCACTATTCGAATATCCAGGACTTTTCCTGGCCAAAAAAGCATAACTCTCAATGTAAACAGTATAATAATAAATGCAGTAATAATATAAAAAGTGTGGAGTCGACCATTGGGAGACCATCTTGTCATTAATATTATTCAATTTAAACATTGATACTAGGACAAACATTTATAAGGCTTTGCTCGTTTTATTGAGTGCAAAATCATCATACAAGAGTAATCTACTATGCTAGATTTTTAAAAATGTATTCAATAAAAATTCCACAAAGTTGTATTGTTATCCGTTTAGGAAAAGCTGTTCTATACTTAATTTAATGGCATTGAAGAGTTTCGTGAGACTTTCATTCTACGCATAAGAAACTAAATATGGCACGTGACCACAATCTAGCCTCGAACATTGCATAACGGTCAATTTCCAAAATGTTTCAAACATTTTAAGGCGTTCACTTTCCAAAAGCAGTCACCGGAGTTTCAATCGCAACCTAAGACGGTAAACTGAGTACCCTTACAAACGTTTTCCTCGATTCCATAACCAAAAGTGTCAAACTTTGTTTTGTCGCATCTTGAAAATCTATCATATAACCTCTTGATTTTGACCATTTTGGAGACATTAGGGAGATGCATGGTAACAGATTTTGCAGATTTTTCTTGAGAATGCATAGTTTTCATGAGCTTTCATTCGTCAGTTTCTTATGCGGAGATGACTTAATGTCGCTGATCATATCAATTTAAAACAAAGCGTCAGCTATGTATTGCATGATCGATTATTGTCAAACAATTTCAATCGACCTATCGAATTCTCTCTCCAACAACGATGCTATCTAATCTACTGAGTGCGGTCATTGCATGACAACATCCAACAAAGAGGACAGTTAAAGGAACAGTAGCCAAACCTTTAAGAAGCACATTAGAGAAACCTAACACAAAGAAAGAAATATATAAATGTACGAAATTTGAAATGAACTTCCAAATGTCATAAATCATTAATTTATCACATTATATCAAGAATAAATTCAAATACTGTAAATAATAGCAAATTTGTGGCGTGATTATTAAATCTACAATGTCGTCTAAAGATCATTTACTCAAGTTGTTTAAAGTTGAAAAATCAGTAACGACTTTACATTGATTATTAAAAGCATGCATGGCTCATATTCTGAGGAAGAAAGGGCAATTAAATAATTTCTATTGCGTTTGTAAATCAATCAATATCAGTGTTTTTATCATATGATTCGAAATTTTGTTAAGATTAGGTGTGAAATTATGTGTGCATAAGTCTTTAACCCTAAAGGGGCCGGGTTATTTTGACCATCTCTCAGCCGGGGGGGGGGGGGGGGGCGGATTCGCCCCCCCCCCTAAGATCTCGGCCATCGAGTGACGAAAAATTTTGAAACTCAATACATGCATAGAGCAACTCTTCCTTGACATACCCAAGAAATTTCATGACTATAGGTCAAAGGGTTTTGGAATTATGGCTAATTAATTATTCATATATACGAATGGCAATTCTGCTCGGTGTACACGACGTATATGCGAAAATTAAGTTTTCACGGCGCGTAGCGCCGGAAAAAAATTTGCTACGCGGCAACCCGTGGTCCGATTTTTATGTTTTTGGTATCAAAAGATGCGCAAAGCTCGAGGCTAAAAAGTCATAACAGCTGGGGTCGCGAAACAAATTTTTTTAGAGGCTATCACGGAAAATGTTGGGGGGGGGGGCGGATTCCGCCCCCCCGGCCCTTTTAGGGTTAAAGATAGTGAGCTATCTTACTTTTTATCAAGGTAGCCATATGTCGTTTAGAACACAGCCTTTGCTACGAACATCATGGCGGCCAAAGCGACATAGCTGACTTGACGAGTGGTGGCGCTGTTGCATCCATCTCCAGTGCAGCAGCAGACAACGTTATCGGAGCTTTCTTCAAAGCAATCGTTGTTTCCACTAAACGCACATCCCACAGTCGACATACAGCTGCGCATTGCTACAACCCCGTTAACTTTACCTTTCTAGAAAGTGGAAAGAAAAACACTTACTAAACCAAAGAAACCAATCAAATATGTGATGTTCTTGTCGATGCACAAAGTAAAGTGCTGCATGGGAGGGGTCCCGGCGGCGGCGACATTCGCATACAGGTTTACTTACTAATCGTTTGCTTAGCCAATTGACCTGTAGCCGTTTGCCAGTTAGCCACGCCCCTTATAGACAACCCTATGGAATAAGTTTTGTTTGTCTCAGATTTTGCGAGTTCCGTTTTGCGAGAGAGGTATAAAAAAAGAGAATCCAAAAACAACCGGCTTATATGGAACAATTATAGACTTGAAAACTGTCAAAGTGGCTCCACTTGAAATGGTAGTTCATAACCATTTCATTAACACCATAATTATTTGCAACTCATCAATCACGGATGACCGAGCACCATTTATTTCAAAACTAAGGCCCACAAACAGATTTTTCCAAGTTTGCTGAATGTACGTGTAATTCAGCTGTCGGATGAAACCGCAGTTGCTGTGGACAATGCGCTAAAAGGTCATCCATGACTGAAATGCTGCTAATATGGTATCAATGAAAAGCTAATGAACTACCCTTTAAGATGAAGCAACTTTGACATTTTTCAAATTCACAACTTTAACATACTGCTAACCCATTGTTTTTGGATAAGTTTGTTTTTTGATACACCATGTTGTCTGCGTTGACGCAATTCTACCCATTTTTTTTTTGCACATGTAAACAAAATGTAAACAAAACGTGGCCTCAACATGTTTTAGCCCTATTCTTGGGGCTGATTTTCTGAAGCATTTTTGGCTTGATTACTGAAGTCAAGAAAAAAAAACTCGAAAGTCGCATACAATGCAACTCATATTTCGACCAATCGGGGCATTTCATTACGTTCAATGAAGGGCACCAAGTTGAATGGTCAGGCTAGACGTGTTTCACCCGCGTTGTGAGGGGTCGTGGGGGAGGGTGGGGGGTTGGACAGAATTACCGAGATCATATTTTGATAATTTGAAAAATGATGCCCGCGCTCCATTGCAAAATAGAACAATATTAGGGCCGAATTTCATCGAATTTTGGAGAAATACGAGCTCGCAGGCTGTGCACGGCTTCCACTCATTTTTTTTTTTTTTTTTTTTTTACAAACTGTCAAGTTCATTGCCTACAAAATAGTAAGCAACTCGGAGGCTAGGCGTTCAGCTCGTGATTTGGCCCACGTAGGCAACTTTGGGGCTGAGCTCTTAATGTATGATCAAAGTAGGTCATCTCAATGCACACAAAGCTGACAACAAACAAAACAGCCACTACGTCATTTTGGCGCATGTGTATTTTGTGCCTTCCAGAATGATCAGTATAACGGATAACTCAGACCGTTACACCAAAGTTGAGGCTGGAGATTGAGGAACGGCTCAAAACTTTGAAAGTCGTATACCCACAATATTAATGGGTGACGCGTCCCGCCCTCTTGTACCACAATTATAGAGAACACTTACGTAACAAGCGTCAGTCAAACCGGTGGTGCAAGGCTTTAGATATTTTGCTTGCGCTGTCTTATCGAATGTGTCACCACACCCAGCATCGGAGCTAGTACAATCGTAGCACTCCGTCACGGCTTTGCCAACACCTGGTGTAAAACGAAATGCCATTCAATCATTTTTTTTTTAAATAAAGATTAATTCCAATTGTGTGTTTCACTATAGACAATAATTAGCTACCAGCAGAATAATGTGAATTCAAGCCATGCTTGATTACAAACATTTGATGGTTAAAGTAAAGTGCCGATTGTTTTAATTTTTTTTTCTTAAAACGTCTTTTCATATGGATTCCTTTGGGGAACTAACCCAACGGGCAGGTTTTCATGTGCAACCTGTATGAGAGAACACGGCGAAAACAGGCCCTTTTTCGCATCTATCGCCGCCACTACATTATTCGACAGAGTATACCTTAGTTCTTACTACAGTGTGACCCTAACAATACATTCTTTCAGAAAATGAAACAAAAACTGGATAAAACACTGATTTTCCCTTGCCAAAATGATGTTGAACACTGCATTTTTAGTCAAAAATCTCCCAGTTTTTGTGTGTAAACCACGCGTTCAGCCAAGAACTGGTCCATTTATATCATCACAACGTTAAATAGCGCCACCTGGGAACTTAGTTCTCCCGAGTCATTTTTCTTCGTCTCGTCAGCTTTCTTACAATATAACCCTTATTGTTATTGGTTGAGGTTAAGGCTCGCCCAACATCATTTACAAAAGAATTGTTCATCTAAAGTCCAATAAAATATGCTGTTGCTCATGGCTGAGCACGTAGGGTCTGTTTACTGTACACGTGCATATCTTATGTCTATGTCCAAGGTCATCTGGCTGTACTGTGCTTTTGGCCGGTTTACATGGGCTCCTTTTGACCACAAACTAAGGTTTTGATATGAAAAAACAATTCACTTATAATTCTCCTTGAATAAGTGTCCTAAGAACAGAATCAGATTGGGGTCGCTTGTACAAGGCCGGATTCAGATCAAATTATTTGGTTATTTTTGTGGGGAAGGGGGGGGGGGACAGTTTTTGATCCCAAAATGGTGGATCCAAAGATCTTTCCGCGGGCCAAATTTGTAAATGAAAAGCAAGGGGAACAGGTGTGAATGTATTTCTTTTGTTGAGTTTTATGGGTAGTGCACACAATGTCTACCTTTTTGCTACGTTACTAAACAAAAATAAATGTTTTTCGGTGGTTGTTGTTTTTTCCCCTTTCTTTTTGGGGGGAGGTTGGCTGAGGGGGTGGGGGAATGGCCCCTTTGCCTCCGCCCACCCCCGATCCACAGTTGCGTTTGTATGAGTCAATTAGTTATGGTGTATGTCATACTCACCAAGGCAAGCAAGAAGCAACACGAGCATCATAGTCCACTTCATGGTCAGGCAGGTGAAGTTTTGCAGCAACGTAAAGTCCCTGTTAACAGAGCATGGTAAAAAATATAAATATATATTTCTGTGATTGAAGTTGAAAATAGTACGTAATTGATTAAAGTGTAATGAGAGAGTGCATACATTTGTAGCATGTATATTTTCCCCGTGTCGCAGCTTTCTAAGTTGTTGAAAGAAAGGACATAACAGTGTCTAATAAAACGGAAGAGACCCAGTTTAATTGGAACTCAACAGTTTACGAAAAATACCAAAATGGGCAATGGATTAAGAACATTCAGTGGGCATTAGCATAGGCCCGTGGTTCAAACTTTAGAGGTTCTTTCTCTGGAATGCTCCTTTAGTTTTGGTTTTATACGCACACTTTTCAACGAGAGATCAGTGTACTCATTTTTGTGCTTAACAAAAACAAATCATTGTGGGCTCGAATAAAAGGTGATTACATTCAAATTCGTACGTTGCGTTGCCGAGTATAAATATCTTGGAGTTGTTTTTGATGATTAGACTGGAGCAACCATGTGAGTCATGTAGGTAAAAGATTGAACTCAAGAATGTTCTCGGTTTGAGGAAACTGAACACATTTGATGTCAGGAAGGAAATCAAGACAATATTCTATAACTTGGTTCTTTGTAGTGTATGGACCTATTGTTTGTTATGTTGGGCTGGAAATACCGATAAGAAAGTGAACAAATTAATTGACGATACCATCAAACGAGCTAGTAGGATACTCGGTGAGTGTTTGCCATCTGTGGACACGGTCTACAACCAACGGCTGCGTGACAAGCTACAATAATGGTGTGGGGAGATGCTGGGCATCCGCTCCACAACCGATTTAAGGATAACATCATTCCACGCAGCAGAGAAGACTGAGACCAGTGCTTGCAAACCGAAATTCTTCATTTTTTTCACAGGCAGGGCCATTAAGTGTCATATTGATGATTTTACAAGATGATTTTTATCCAAAGGATTAATTTATTCTGGTATCTGAGAAACAACGGGTTTTCACAGTTTTTGATATAATTTTTATACTTAGTCCTTTATTCTGGTTCTACTTTGGGAATGGGTTTTGCATTAATATCACATGTGCTTTTTTACGCTCTTAAATTTTTAGTGCTTTATACTGTGTGCAATTGTAATGTTTTGATGTGATTGTGTATTTATTTCCTGAATATTGTAGCGTATGTTGAATTTTTTATATTTTTAATGAGAGACGACAACATGTAATTTCCAGTTTGGGATTTTAATAAAGTTTATCTATCTATCTATCTATCTACATTATACAGGGTGAGTCAAAAAGATAGTGACCGGAAAAAAAAATCCAAATATATGTTGCTCGCTCCATTTCATTAAAATAACAGAGGGATAAAAGTACATGTTGTTGACTAGTAACTGTAAATATTTCATGTAATTTGCATACTCAATTCCCAATTTACTTCCATTTTAATGAAAGGATTACAAAATTCAGCTGTCCACCACTGATAATTTACCGTTCTACGAACTGATGAATACCCATTAAATACAATGAAACATGGAAGTTTTCCCACCTCCGTGAATGAATAAAAAACTTGCAAAGGAAAACAGACAAAATCGCCATCAACATTAAAAAAAAAAGAGTTGACCTGTTACTCACATTATTTTTTTTTAAACAGTCAATATAATGTTTCAGTCTTGACTCAAATGGTTAAAATCTTCTCTGTATTTGAATGCTTGTGTGTAGGCCTAATCTGTAATTCTCACCAAGCTCAACAGCTTACAATGACATTTCATGGAGGTGACTGCTCTATGTTCCGACACCCCTATGTTCCGACAACCTAGATTGTGTTACCCCGGGTTAGGGTTAGGGTTAGGGTTAGGAATAGGAATATGTGCAGTCGGAACATAGAGGTGTCGGAACAAAGAGGTGTAACCTTCATGGACAGCTATAAAAAAAAAAAAACTTAAAAAAACGCGCATAACTTCTGATAGCATGGAAGAATAATTATGCTCTCTTAAGAAATACTGTATTGGTGTATAATTTGATTGTTATTTTTTTACGAAAACAATCACTAATCCAGGTCACTTTCTTTTTAGACTTGGTATCCATCCCCTTCCCCTCGGTGTCATATTTCTTCTATGAAAGATTCTCCATCCATTCTACATATGGTTTGAGTCTCAAGGTAGATGACGTTTGCCATCCTGTAAAGGCTACTCTGGATAATGCCTACACTATGACAACAACTGCGGTTATTTTGAGTAGAACATGTCTCAAACTTGAAATCCTTCCACTGCAAATTTAATCAACCTCTTCTAGTTAAATAACGTTTCGATTTTGGGTGATCGCAATTAGGCTTTTGGTTGGTCGTAGAGAACCCCAAAGTTCGCGCCTATTCGAAATATTGATCATAAGACTTTGCTTTTCAACCTTTTCCCTAAGAAGTTTTCGGCAGTGTTTTGGGGGTTTTTTGGGTCTCATTGTTAAGTAAGCCTTACCTTAGGTCTTGTCCTTTGTAAATGCTGACGTATCGACAGGAATTATGCTAACCTCCGAGACGCCCGTCTTTATATACCCAAGATCCGGCGCACTGATTGGACATTACGGGACCACGGTCAGTGGCCGAGTCACGCACACAGCCCTGTTTGACCCACTGATCTCTATATAAAGACTGGATAGCTAATAAAGAGCCGCACTATGTACGAATTTGACGCCATATTAGTGAGACCGGCTGGTGATCTACAAAGGACAAGTTGCCGTTTTTATAGACGGCATGATTTCTTTTGTAACGTCGCGGTTCACTTGACTTATATTTTGACCACCACCACTGACCAAGGTTAACTACAATTTTTCTAACGTCGTGGTTACTAAAATGCCGCAAATATAACTTTTTCGGCGTTTTGAAATAATAATCACTACGGAAATGTGTCCCTTTTAGGCTTGATTTTGATACCACAAATAACTGCTTTTGACAAATACAAAGTGTTGTTACGGTCTGTCAAATAAACTCACATTTTTTATCAACAAAATCGAGGGCTGATAGTTTTTAGGTGTACATTCGATTCTTTAAAAAGGCCAAAAGAAACGGCAAGGCTCAGTAGATAGAGGAAAGTATACCCTTCGTTTTCATGTGAAACACGTGCAGGAGACTTCTAATGTTTGGTCCAAATCGCCGGTTGAAAAATGAAGACTTTTGCGAGATTTCATGGTTTGCAATCACATGTACGCTTGTAAACGAGCCTTGCCGTTTCTTTCGGCCTTTTTTTAAGAATCGACTGTACACCTAAAACCTATCGGCCCTCGATTTTGTTGATAAAAAATTAAACTTCATTGCAAAATAGAGCGATTTTAGGGCCCCAAATTCATCCAAATTGCACAGAACTACAAGCTCACGGTCCCATGCACGGCTTCCACCCATATTTTTTACAAACCCTCAAGTTCATGGCCCACAATATGAAGAATTTGAGGGCATGCAAATCGTGATTTGGCCGGCGTAGGCAATTTTGGACCGATTTACTGGCCTGCTGCAACCATAGCGACTGGGCGCTCAGCTTTGCTCTCTTTCTACTGTGGCCGAAGTCTCTGCTCTAGCACTAATCAACCTCCAACAATTAACCAATCACCTAGGCAGTAAGTTGCAGTGGAGGGAGCCTCATACTTTGTGTGAGTGATATTGACAAATGATTCCTGCATCATAATCCCGATAATTAAGTAATCTCTGAAGTTATAAGAGTATTGTGATTGAATTATAAGATCACGCAGGCGAGTAACCTAGGTAGGCTGAGACTGGATTGATTAAGAAACCATTAAAGTCAACAGTGTCCAATTCCTCCCCCAAGATATCCCCCCCCCCCCCCCCGTCTGTCAGCCCAGTGAGTGGAGTGAGTCCGTCATAGGTGTTATTTTTTTGGGAAGTCTGCTCTAGGGGTGCACGCCTGTAAATAGACCAAAAATCCGTCCGCCGAGCTCATGAATAAAAGTTATACCCTCAAAATATTCTATATTAGAGAGTTCTGAGAACCATGGAATTGGGGAATTGAAGACATGTGGCACTGAACCTCTGGCCTGGACTTGGAGCTTCCAATTCTGAGCATTTTGGATGCAATCTGGCCCGAAAGTGGCGCTATTTAGCCATGTTGTGGAGGAATTCTTTTTCAAAATGGCTACTTTTCCAGTTCGGGAAACATCATTCGTTTTAGGGGTGTTCTTATTTGGGTGAGAATATCTCAAAAAGTCAATGGTCAACCCACCCAAAATTGAAAAGAAAATGAAAGATGACATATTGATCATCATTTTTCTGTGCAGCTTGAATACCTGTGAGAGTTCTGAGTATTTTTAAATGAATTTTGAAGTATGGACATTTAGCACTAGTGTCTATGGGAATTTATTTGCAGGCGCGCACCCCTAGGCCTGGGCCTGGCGGTAAACTTCCACCGAAACGGATCCGCGTATCCTGCCGTCGAGGTTAGATCGTTCACCGATATTGCAGGGGCGGTCATCCGAGGGCAGTATGCCGCTACAATAGCTATACAAATATAGTCAGTTTAGTACTACGTGTGACCTTCACTGCATGAGACCCCCCCCCCCCCCCCCCGTGAAAAGCTTTGTTTGAGGCTGGATTGATCGTGAATTCGATTCCACAAGTTCTTAATTCCTTCTTTCATAGAATAGATGCCTAATTGTCCAAAATGTTACGTTATGAGTAATTGATATTCTATTTGCAGAGTGGATTCAAGTGTTTTGGGTTTTTTTGCGAGGGGGAGAACGATTTGAAAAAAAGAAGGTCTGAATACTATAGCCATTTTGAATTACGAGCTGTTGATATGTTCACAAAAATAGACTCTGTCAAAATAAAATTAATGTGAGCATTCCCAAAACTAAAAGAATGAGGCAATTTCTGACCACTTTAATCAATTTCTTTGAAGGAAAAGATTGTGGTGTACGCAGTGTCTGCAACGTCACTTTAGAAATAAAAAATGGATTCTTTTTTAAGGGGGGGGGGGGGGGTGGCCCCCGTTGCCCCCCTCCCCCCACCAGATCCGCCCTTGGGCTAACATTTCTCAAACAAACTTCTACAACTTACAATTCCCCTCAGGGAAAAACAGTCTATTTGTAGGAAAACAATCGGAACTACATTTCACATTAATAGTACGGCAGATAGGTGATGGCATTGGTGATTTGATGATACAAGCATGACATTTGACACACAGTCAGAGTATGTCATAAAAAAAGACATGTGCTACAGGGTCATCGCAGATTTGTCATTTGAAAAAATATTGGTAGAATAACAAGCAATGGCAGCCATTTCGGAAATTTCGAAAATGGCTTGTTAATCTACCTATATTTTTTTTCCGAGGACAAATCTGCGATGGCCCTATAGCCAAATATCTTTCTCATGACATTCTCTGACTGTGTGCCAAATGCCATGCTTGTATCATCAAAGGCACATATTCCCCCAATATTTATCATATCTGCCCCTTGTGTATCACTCTAGAGAGTTTTGCTTTGTGTTCTTCCAAATATTTGCTTTTACGATTTGCAATAGTAAATATTTCCCCTTCAACGCCAATTTCAAAACAAACTTTTGTCACCACAATAAAAGCCATTGCGCAGGTCGGAGTCAACCGTCAACCAATCAGTGACAAGCAGAGATGCGCAGACCACATATTATGGGAGCGGCTATAGATGAGATTGCCATCGCAATATACTTATCAGTTGTGAGTCAGTACGGTGATGTTCATGTATTGACTGACCTTGTTTGTTTTGTTGACAAGCCTTTCGTCTGGACAGACACGTGTCGTATATGCCCCCCCCCCCAGCCATGACTGCTCTCGATAGCTTTTTATGTCTTTACAAAAACATATCCTTGATCAAAGGTTGCCATTGCATGAATTATGGAATTTAGTGTGTAAACATAAAACAATAAAAACACTGTACAGACGGGAAAATTGTATTAATTGTGTTGTTTTTTGTTAATACTTAATTGTTTATGTAAATTGGAATAGAAAAATAATCAGACCGTGGTAGCATGACAAAGGTCTATTGTTTTTCTTCTGCAACAAAGCACACACATGCGTAAAATATTAATTATATCGCGTAACTTTATGACGTTCAAATTTCAAGCGAAGATCGAAGCGACACCGTACTGGTAAGTTCACACTGAGCAGGAAGATTGGGTTGTTTACTGTGTTGTCGTAAATATGGAGGGCTTTTTACTTTCCAATGGACCTTTATCATACTGCCACCATTTCAGTCATGTTCCCTGTATCCAATAACAATATTGAAACATAATGTTTTTGTGCAAAAAGAGTCAGACTATTTTTTTCCTTCCAGCCTCGCTTTGGTTACGTGACGTTGATTTGAATGAGAAAAAAATCAAGATGGCCGCAAGATCTATTACCTTGGACAAAATGCGGAACTTATTAACAAGGAATGGTTTTGCCACACGTGTCAATAGATTGCTATTGAGACCTAATAAGCCATTTCACTAACAAATGATAATCATATATGCGCATATTTGGTCATGAGACAAGAAACGAACGCGGCCTATTGAAAATGGGCATTATTTTCTGGCTTCAGTCGGGTTTATGGTAGTCTAAGTATAACCCGTAATCCACGGAGTCAAGTCTCCTGTATCCGCTCCGTTCACAATTACCCCCTCACCGGCAAAGAAAGTACAGTCGGGGGTGACCATTCATCTCCATAATAGGGTGACCGACCGACGCCATCTTGCCGGACTGCAATTGTGCCGCGACGCGCGGCCGTTCCACTTCGTGTACATAGTACAAATCCCCTGGTGTACGTGCGTCACACACAAGGAATGGTTCGCGTCAACCAGCTACGGGCAAGTTCCCGCAAGACGTGTTGTTGACAGTTGGTTAACCATAGTTCGACTACTGACTAGCCTTTGTTGGTGTGTCTAGGTTTTTTAAGTTGTAGTGGTCAAAAATAAAATCGCAGTTTTAGCACCTCATGGTCGATGTTGTTGGCTTATTGCATTCTTTTCATTGGAGTTCAAAACAAACTACTAAATCCAATGTCTACAAAAGCAGATGAACGGAGACGCTATGAAAGGGGCATTCACAAATAAAACAAATTATCTCCTGGGCAAGAGATAATTGGCTGAGATTAATGTTACCTAGATTACGCAAGGTGTGATTTATGCAGGAATAGTTCACTTCTGTCACGTCACACTAACTAGATATCGTAAGCCGGCAGCTTTTTGGAAAATATCCCGCTCACTAGATAATGATATATCTCGTGTGCATTCGAATTTTTTTTAAAGTTTTATTCAATGTCCCTTTAGGGACTTTGTACAGATAAGAACAATTTGTGTCTCCAACGTTGAATGAAACCAGGAAATCTGTCTGCTGCCACCAATAATGTCTATATTTCCAATCGATCCATTTTTATCTCTGTCGTTCATCCAAGCCTCACGTCCTGGACTCTGCCCGTTTCTGAACTTTGATCGGGTACATTTCGTTGACACTCGGTATATGTTTGCAAAAGCTTGGGTATTTCGCTAGCCCCCCTCCCTTATTAATCGTTTTTGTCTGCAAAAATATTTGTCCTGTCGGCATGGGCGTCGCCAGGATTTTTTTTAAG